AGGCGGGTGGTGGGGGTGAGGAGAGCGCTTCCGAGAAGGGGGAGGACTCAGGAGGCTGCTCGAAATAAGGGAAAACGTTCCCAGCCCTGCCGTCGGAGCCCTGCGCTCCTGAAAATAACCCACAAATCCCCCCTCCGCCCCGGCCCACTTACATGATTTTGTTCCGGAAACTTAGCTTTCACATTAAAAAGATGAGATTTATGTTTTTACCTTTGTTGGCAAAAAAAAAAAAAAAAAAACCTGGAAAAAGCCTGCCTGGTGTAAATCGTCATAACGCTTCTGGGCATGTTGCTGGTTCAAAACCCGTAACAAGGCAAGGCATGTGCTACTGTTTGCATCCTGACAGGATCACGTTATGGCGACTTCAGTATCCTATTTGTTATGGTCCTTATCGTATTAAAGGGCGGACCACGTTAACAGATTTGGAGAACACAGACCCACTGTCCTGCATCACACCAGAAGGTCCATCCAGCCCAGCGTCATCTCTTCAACACTGATGGGTAACAAACATCTGGGCAAGATTATAGTAATGCCAAACTTGTACTCGCCCACATTGATGCACCCTCTTTCTTGGAGTTATGGCTTCATACTTCCATAGCCAGAAGTGTTAAGGCTGTTTTTAGAAGCCCCGACTTTATTTTTTCTTCTTCTATTAATTTGTCCTGTGACTTTTTGAAATTGGGCACTTTTTGGCAACTGTCACATCCAGTGACAGTATGCTCCATAATTCGACTAACTATTGCGCAATTAAGTACTTCTGCACTGCTTTTGTTTGGTTTCGGTCTGTCCCTTGGTAAGCGCATGTCATGCCAGCTAGATCTTGCACTATGAAAGACCATGAATAATCAGTCCCCGTTCACATTCCCCATCCCTCTCATGACTTTATTGATTTCTGTCGTATCCTCTTCAGTCTTTCCCAGGCTAAAAAAAGAGTCCTAGTTTATTCAGTCATTCCTAGTACAAGAGAGGGTCTATATACTTGATCATCTAGGTTGTCTGTTTTTGTACTTTTTCCAGTCCTATTATATTCTTTTTGAATGGAAGAAAGGAGAGAAAGAGAAGACAGTTTTATACAATGTTAGAAGGAAGTTTTCCATTTTCTTCTCTCTGCCTTTCTTAGTAATTCTAAACTTATTTTCCCCAATGCTGTATTTATCCCAGAGTCTGTAACCACCTCTGTTTTTTTTCAAATAACAAAATCTGCAGGTAGTTTATTTAGGCCTAGTTTCATGGAAACTTGTACATGTGAAATCAGGTACATTCAGATAGAACTATTCACATGCCAAAATGATTTGGCAGTTTCCAACTTTGCTCCCTGTAACTTATACAATGAAGTTGTATCCAAATATGAACAAGCATTATTAAAAATGCAAACTTTTATTTGTATTATTTACTCTTTCCATAGAACAAAGTATGATATATTTAATTAAAGTGAACACTGTATAAGAATTTCAGTACAGATTAAGTCATTTTCAAGATATTTTTAACATGAGCACCTAAATGTTTACAGACAGACAGAAATGTGATTTTTAACTTGACACAACCAAAAAAAACCCAAGAAAGCAAAGCGTGTTTTTGATTATTTGCTTGTAGTGTTTTTGTTAAATGAAAGTGCACTCAACTTTTCAGTCATTCTAAATGGTACTAAATTACAGACCTGAATTAGTAATGCACACAAGCTTGACCGTAAATCATTCAATTAGGCAACTAATGAATCATTCTGCCTCCTCCGTTCAGACAGCATCTTTAGCATTACTGTTAACTAATTAACTTTCCTTTCTGCAGTACCTAGCAACTTTGTAGATTTGTTTTATAGTTAGTGTAAATGTTTCAGTCCATTTAATGATTAGGAGAACGCTCTGATCTTCACTTTTCCCTTGAGCTGAAGGTCCATCTATGAAATAAATAAAGCTACAAAACGTCAAACAAAGTTTTCAAACATTTGCAGGTTTACTTGGGTTTTACCAGTTAATGAATGTAACACGTTCTGCTGAAAATGTGGTGGAAAATTTGACTCAATGTATTCATTGAAAGTTTTTAATATAATACATTACCTACTTTTTTTTTTTTAATAAAAAACCAAGGCAGCGTATGTGGCAATTTTCAAGGACTTTTTGTATTTTTCGTGCTCTTAATTATGTTAATTTAAATTAACATAACCTCATTTCTCAGTCATAGAATCATGAATTTATGCAAGTGTTAATGTAAAGGAAAAATACATTTGCATGTTTGTGGACAAACGTGCATATTAGAATCCTTTCTAAATAAACAAAGTAGAAATATTCCTGAGGACAGGAACTACCTATAGCTGAACATTTTCCCTTAACATTTAATTTAAGACTTTACATTGCATGAAATCTTCAGATTGTAAGACTTCCACAAAAGAAACCACTTACTTGCTGATCATAGTCTAAACATATAACAAAAGGTACTTCGTAACATTATGTATAATTAATTTTCTCTTTGAACTAAAAAACGACGTATTTAGTAGGATAGTGCCTGCGCCTGGCATTATGATATGAGGAATTTATTAAAGAGAAGGTGGCCCCTAGCCCATGGCTCTTTCTTGCGGTGTGTTCTGTCACTGGTGTCAGCTACAGGCACTGGGGTCCGCGTGCTCTGCCCCACTGCTGATAGGGACAACAAAGTACAACATTACCCACAGCCTGCTACTGGCTCAGTAACGCTGCCCAGGACCTAATGAAGGTTGGGACCACTGGTCTTGTTTAGGAATGACAAGCAGTTAGTTCAGTTAGCTCTTGTTCTGCCAAGGGCTCAGTCTTGTAGCCTAAGATAATTTACTAATGACCACATTTTCAGACAGCCCTCTTATCTAGGAGCCTTATTTTCCATGGTTCCTCCTGATATGATTTGGTTTAAAAACCTAGGAGTTAACAACAGCTGCAGTCAGAGGTAACTTCCAAAATTACTTTTATCTTAAACATTAGGAACTATTAGGGTTTTTCTTTATTAATTTCCTTTTTGAAGGAGGGGGGGTGCCAAAGATGGCAGCTGTTTAGTACCTATTTTAGAGTTTTTGGTTCATGGCAGTTTCCCACATGGAAACACCTGGAGGTTAGTAGCATAATCCTGTGTAGAAAGCAACTCAGCCAAACAACTTTGCATATATACACTTTGTAGCTGCTGTAGGCTCAATTATGCTTCCACCAAAGTTTTGGAAGTTCTGCCTTTGCGTTCTTTGGAGGCCTTAACTGTTCCCTAACCACTAACAATCATGTGCCCACAGAATGACAAGTGGGCAGATCCGATATGTTATTTGGGATATTGTAGAAGGAGATAACTAATTAGTACTTTTCTAACTGTTCTGGATATATCTGTCTGTTTTCCAGTTGGTTAAGTTCTTTGCTCACAAATTGAACCATAAGCAGTCCTTATTGATCACTATTTTAATTTACAGTGCTTAAAAACGGACACTTTTTGTATAAATATATGCACACATACCCACAGTCTCCCACTGCCTTCACCAGCACTCCCATTATCTGTATACTGCTATGTGTACCTGTTCACCTGATTCTTTTCATTAAAGAAATTACTTGGAAACCTTGGAAACAATTTTCACTTTTTTTTTTTTTTTTAAAGGGAAAAGCTTTTACTGTTTTTATGGGTAAAATATTTTTAAGTCAGTCAAAGGAAAGGGGTTATTTTTACTTGCAAGTTGTTATTCTACTAAAAATAGCCATGTGATTTATCTCAGGCCTTTCAATGTTTCCTCTATTCATGTGACTTAGGGTTTATATTACTCAGTAAAAAGAACTCAAAATTTCCAAATTTGCTTTGCTTCAGTATATAATTAGGAAATGGTAAAGTAAGAATGTGACTGTAATTTATATGAGATGGTTCATATTGTCCTCCAACTAATTTCTGAAATAACAGCCCTCGCCTCTTATCCTAAAGAGCACTGTCTCTCAATCAGCAGCATCGAGGTCTTGTTTCAAGGTGGAATAGCCACAAAATTCCTTTATAAAATGGACCACAAGGTTTTATTTGAAATATTCTATGGGGTATATAGGAAATGGCTTCAAGGAGAAGGAAAAAAAAAAAGCACAACTTGGAAAGAGGTTGCATGCTTAACTACAGGCAACAACCACAC